CTCTCTCTCTCTCTCTCTCTCTCTCTCTCTCTCTCTCTCTCCTCTCGAACATCTCGAATTGGCTCGTGGTTTCGTGTGCATCCTCGCCGATCCTCTCGTGCTTTTGTGCTTTTCGCATTTTCTGCAGTACGTCGATCGAAATATCCGCAAAGTTCGTCCGCAATGTCGATTGTCGTTCAGAGTCGTGGTTTCCGGGCGATAGTCACATATTTCAAATATATATATATTTGAGTATCTACGACATTCTCAAATATATATATATATATTTGAGTATCTACGAGATTCTCTCTTTAACGTATCCTACAGATCGATCGGGTATTTGTGTTCTTTGTGTTCGAAAAAAAAGAGGTAAAAAGAAAAAAAAAATATTAGAATAGAGAAATCAATGACTCACCAGTCTTGTTTTCAAACGTGGAAGAAACACTTTGACAGGACGAACAGCAGAACAATCCTGCCAAGAATAACCATTTATATAGATCCGCCGATCTCCCCGGCATTTTCTGAAACAATCAAATTCGAATAAGATAGCATGCTGATATATTTGATCAACGCGTGACGAGTTGAGTGTATGTACATGTGTATGCATACGAGTAAGTACATTGACACACAAGTGGATGAAGACATCCACTCTCCATTCACGTTCTTTTTCAATATCGGTCGTCTATGTTCTACTTTTCGACGTTACGATTACGCGAGATTACACAATCGATAACATCAATGTCGAAATAACATACGTAGCTCTCGTACAAGTGGAAGCGAAGAGAAGGTTAGAAACGAACTCCTTACCTTTATCACCAGATTGGAATACAAAAAACAAAATAATCTTCTAGTCATAGAACATTTTAACCGGCGACAAGGAATAGCGGTATTTCGACGTTGGAGGTAGTTCACTACGCTCTCGAGAAGTTTGCATCCAAGTTATTAATGAATTCCGTAAGAAGGAGACCGTAGTGGGCCAGAAAAGACGGTTGAAATTGTAAGGTACGCGCAGGCGCAGGCGCGCACGCGCGAACCTCGTCCGTGAATTCGGATTCAAAACCATCGAAGGATTCGTCGGTAATACTTTCACCCGAGACATGTGCAAATCACACTAACAACGCGCGAACGATCATCAACCAATCCTCGTACCTCGTCATTGCATCTATCTCGCTCTAATTTCTTTTATTTCCCGATCTTAAAAATCTAACCTTGAAACATGAATATCCGTTTATTATCCGAGGAGCGTTTCTCGAATTTTAATTCAATATAATTTAACCAGGTATAGCATAGTTTCTTACTAGGAATTAAATACATCGTTCAATGCGATAGATATATATAAACCATTCAGTGTTAATGGTCCAGACACGGCATATGACATTAACGACTGACGCAACTGCGAGGGATATGTACAGGATCTTATTGCAAGTTACTTACTGTTAGACAGAAGCAACGAACGAACGATCGCGATCGATTGATACGCGTCAAAGATTTGAAAATAGGGATGTTGCCAATGCATTGTAAATTTCGGAAAGCTTGCTGAAAGAAGCGGTTTCCATGGTATTTGCACGTGTGATCGTGGTGTATCGAAAGGAAAGGAAGGAGAGAAGAAAGAGAGAGACACGTGGTAACGGTAGACGATGCTTGAGGCGCCGAGCTTCTCTCTCTCTTTCTTTCTCTCTTTCTTTCTCTCTTTCTTTCATCCCTCTCTCTCTCTCTCTCTCTCTCTCTCTCTCTCTCTCTCTCTCTCTCTCTGTGTGGAATAAGATTCCCAAAGAAAGAACGTGGCCAGCATGGACGAACGAGCAAAGAATGCCGCCTTCTGCGATGCCGCCTTCAGATTCGGCGTGATTCGACCTTGAACCTCCGATCGAGCAACGTCCATCTTGAAATTTTCCAACAACGGTACAACAAGGTATCGTGCGTAAAGTTGAACAGGGTTGTGATTGTCTCGCCACAAACTTTTGCTTCCTCTACCGAGAACTTATATGTATATATATATATACACAATAAGTGTAAAAGATAAATGTAATATTTTCTTAGAAAAGGACGGCCCACCATTTACGTCCATTTACACGATTCTCCTTGCCGTATCGTCTCTCATGACGATATTTATTGTCCGTTTCGCGAGTCGAGCCTCCGTTTAAGTATAATTTATGGACGCGCGAATAGACTGGCTGGAAGCTTATAGAAGGAAAACAGAGATAGCAGAGAAAGTAGAGACGTTATGAGAAAATATTTCTGAATTGAATCATTCAATTTGTATTCGCTCCGAGAAGAAATGAATTAAATAAAAATGCTAAATAACAGTAATTTACAAATAAAGTACTTTAGAAATATATTTTTTCCCGGTTTATCTCAACTTCAAATCATTTTCGTGCAAGCAATTATATATTTGATTGCCTATAAAATATGCATAATCGCGAAACATCATGTTTATATCTAAATCTTATTATTACGGAGAATGAGTCGCAAATGTACCCGCATTTTACGTCTTATCGATATCTCGAAAAATGTATTTAAAAGCTCCATCATTTGAAATCGCCATACTACCTCTGACCCTAATTGCTCGTTGGATTCCTCGCGATAAAAGAGAGAGAGAGAGAGAGAGAGAGAGAGAGAGAGAGAGAGAGAGAGGAAGAGAGCGCAATAAAAAACGCATATTCGTAAACACTTTGAATCGTAAAACATTACCATCAAGATGCGTAATATAAGCGAATTAAGCGGGCTGTTATTTAAGGGACGAGAGGAGAGAAATGAAGAGAGGAAAAGAGAAGGGTAGACGAAAACCGGAGCGGGAAGAAACGGTGCGGCACGAACGGCCCTGAGATCGAGGTTGGCTCGCGAGACAGCGTGGCCCCACGGTTTCACTTTATCTCTCTCTCCTGTGGACCACACAAGGTTATCCGTGCGCATGTGGACGTGACTGGGAAAAAAACGTGGCCAAAAAAATTCTCCTCGCTGTGTCGCGTGTATTAGCAAACATATACAAACATACGCTCTATTCGTGAATTGACCGAACTACGGCCGTTAATTTCAAGTTCGTGTAAAAACGAGCAAAAGAAAAAAAAAAAAAAGCCCCACGATCGAACGATCGAAAGTGGTAATATCTTTCGATATCGTGTATTGATCGATAAGATGCAAGAAATTATCGAGGTTAATAGGCGAGGAAGCATGCAACTGGATTGTTCATCGGTGGCGCGAGCCGGCCGGAAGGAAACGCTCGTTTCGGTTTTGCTTTCCACACTCGATGCGCGATCCTTTCCTAATTACGATCGCTCGGCAACCGAGATGTCTAATGGATCCGTGGTGTAAACCGAATTTGTTGGACGGAGAGGGAAGAATAGAGGGAAGGAACAGCTGTTTTCTTTTCCTCGAAAGAAGAAGCGAGACTTTAACGAGACATGAAGGGGAAGAGGGCCGCGAGAGGGAGACGTGGCCCCAAAACGAAACCGGCCTATATTAGCTAAGAAGGCGTATTACGTATGCAGGCCGTTCGATCTCACTGCCGCTCCTCTTCCCGCGTGCGATGAAATTTTCATGGTGCGCGGGGATATACCCATGCGAAACCGTACCGACACGCTGTCCCACGAATCTTTCCCCGATCCGACGGCGGCTGCCCGGGGACCCATAGCGCGAGCAATAAAAGACCGCAAAAGCGAGAAAAAGTAGTCGGTCGGCAAACTTCGAGACCTTACTTCCCGACCCGCCATCGCATCGAGATAAGCCTTCGACAGCTCGATTCGAAAAATCGATCCCTCTTTTGTTCTTGCGTTTAACGCCGATGTCATTTATTTTTCGCTCGATAATTTTTTTTTCTCTTTTTGCCAATTTTAGAAATTTAGTCGCTACATTTAATGGAATCAAGCATATATTATATTTCGATTCGAAAAATCGATCCCACTTTTGTTCTTGCGTTTAACTTCAATATTATTTATTTTTTCGCTCGATTTTCTCTTTTTGCCAATTTTAGAAATTTAGTCGCTGCATTTAATGGAATCAAGCGTATTATATTTTAACTCGAAAAATCGATCTCGCTCTTGTCCTTAATATCGATATTATCCGTCTTTTGCTCGATAATTTTCTTCTTTTTATCAATTTTATTCGCTGCATTTATTGGATAGAATTAAGCGTGATTCGATTCGAAAAATCAATCCTATTTTTCTCTTTGCGTTTAACACCGATATTATCCCTCTTTCGCTCGATAATTTTTTCCTCTTTGCCAATTTTATGAATCTAGTCATTTAGATTTAAGCGTACTTTGATCCGAAAAATCGATCCCACTTTTATCTTTGCGTTTAACATCGATTGTAATTTAATTATCCCATTTTTCGCTCGATAATTTTCTTCCTTTTAAAAATTTTATAAATTTAGTTGTTGCATTTATTGAATATATAGGATGAAATAAAGCGTAGTTCGATCTTACTTTTGTCTTACTTGCGTTTAACACCGTTTATTATGCGCGGCATCGTTCGCGCATATATCATTTTACAAATTTACAAATTTTGTTGCATGTTACCGCGTGGAATCAAGCGTGGTGGAAGTTGTCGCACGTTCATCCGCATCATTTCGAATGGAAGGGGGAATAGGTGGGGTGAAGGAGGGAAAAAAGAAAGAAGGAGATAGAGAGAGAAAGAGAAGGGAAGAGTCGTTAATACAGAGATCCTAAAAGAAGAAAGTATAGTAGTTCCGTATTATTCGCAAAGTATTTTCTGTACTTCCGTTCGAATCGTGTCCCGAATAGGGGTCACGCGATTTACATGTGTTCGCTTCCTTACATCGATGAGGATTTCTCCGTTTCTTTTCTAGCTGCTCTTCCCCCTTCCCCCTTCCCCCCCTCTCCTCCCTGATTAGAGAAATAACGAAAGTTATGGGTTCCCGTGACCGGCATCAATCCCGTGAAATAAATTACAGAGGCAGAGCCAATATCTCTTCCCTTCGTTCCATCCCCTCCCAGAGCTATTTCTAATTCTTTGATTAATTTTTTAATTTTAATTCTTCATTTGATGTTATTTTATAAAAATAAAAAGGAAGAAAAAAAAATTTTAATTCTCTTCTTCCTCCCTTCTGCCCTGTAAATTGTAGTAATGTACATCGAATCGAAACGATTAATTAACGTAATAATTTAACGATCGATCTTAAAAAAATGACGATCGAGTTTATCAGTGTATTTTGTTGAGCTTTCTTCTTATAATATTCGAATGGTATCCATCCAAGTTATCCCTTACTGGAATAAGGGGAGGACGATGGTATAAAATGAAACTCTTATTATAATCGAACAATTAGGAATATCTTATTTTATTAATGCAATAATGATAATAAATACGCAAGAATTTTACGATTCCCATCTTTTTCATCCACGTTAAAACTTATTTGCATAAACAGTTCCTTTCCTCGTATCGTCAATAGATAACAGCAATACAGCGGAGGAAAAAGAAACGAAAGAGCACAACTTTTCTTTCTTGGATTTATATGGTATAAAGATTAGATATTAACTAATCACACGCGTTTTCTCTAATTGTCAAAGAAAAGATACGTTACGCGTGATAAAATGGAGGAAAGCTTCGTACGAATTTATCCGTATTCGTAATCATAACGTCTCGAAAATCGCACAACCGTTTCAACCGCACGTACATTTTGTCGCTGTTATGATCGACATTAAGATACGATTCTCGCGTAGCGCAGGGCAATTAACTTCATAATTGGATGGATATCGAGTTTCAAGTCGAATTTTTGAACAATTACGATCTCGTTCCACTCGTCGAGACGAGAAAAAGGATAAAATGAATTCTCGAGGTAAAAATTAAAAGAGGAAGGAAAATGGTTGCCCGTCCCCCTAGGGGGAAGGGAAAAAAACACTAGCACTGCCGAATGTCGATAAAACGCAAACAGATGTACATAATTTCGCGAACAATCCAACGAGATCGAGGATTGGATAGGGGAGCACGGGCATCGCGGAATAAGAGGGGAAAAAAAGATGGCGACCTAGTTCGAATAGTTTCTATATATATATATATATATGCTATTCAATTGGAAACATCCGTTTAGGTTGATTCGCATGAAAGAGCTGATTTTAGTAAAAGCTTGCCAAGTAGATATCATAGTTTCTGGCTTCGTTCTTTTTAACGTATTAATAAGGAAACTTCGTTCGTCATCCGGCATTCCTTCGATGCATTAGACCAACTCTTGCGGAAGAGGGAAAAGATCTTGGCCTATTCTCTCGTTTCTTTCGAGAGAGAAAAATCGCGCCGAAATCGATCGAAATTTTATCGACGCTTCTACGATTCTTTTTTCGAAGCGCTCAAGGCTCGTCAAACGGTACGATACTCGACGATATTTAGAAGAGGAGAGCGAGCGCGCGCATGGAAGCGATTAATGCCAATCAGGAGGCAATTTCGCGTTCTGAATTCGAGATTTCGTGTTAACGCGAGAAATCAATAGACTCGTAAACCGATTAAGGATGCACGAGCAAACAAAACCGAGCGATTCGATGAAATGCTGATTCGTGAGCTTGTCCATTTGAATGGCCGATAATTGAAATTCTGCGACCAGGCCTTTTAGTTTCACGTGTCTAATGCAGCACGAATTTCTTCGAGAATTCGTGACAACTATGCGGAACGAATGCACCATCGAATTCCTCCTATATTCCGCGACCAACTTCCTCTTTGTTTCCCCCCCTGAAAATATTTTTTCTTTCTTCTCCTCCAGAGAGAGAGAGAGAGAGCAAAGAGAAATGGAAAGAAAATGATAATTATCCTTTGGCAAGTAGTTTGGTTGAATAAAATTTTGATGAAAATTTAATAACGCCCTTAAATTAAATTTCCGCAGTTTCGTAATTAACCGAGAATACGAACTCCCAAAGCTATACAGGCAGTAGTATACCGCGGCTGTGTACTGTGCGGACCTCTTGTTAATGGGCAACATTAGTACTCATTTTTCCTCGTGCATATAAAATATACATATATATGTATGTTCTGTACGTTATATACTCTAGAGAAAAGTTTCCATTAAAAAAAGAAAAAAAAAGAACATTTCACGTTTATTTCTGTCTGGCAAATAACGAATTTCCCCCAAATCTAAATGTTTCTCTCGTTTTTTTTTTTTAGTCTCGCAAACTCGAAAAAATATTTAGCAGGAAAGAAAACAAGAGAGAACAATGGAAATAGTACAAGAAGAAAAAAAACTTACCGCTTTCCGTAGCGAATCCTTTCCTCTCGTCCGATTATTATTAATCCTTTCTTCGTTTGGGAACGATAAATCTGTAAATCTATCGAGATATCCTAAACGAAAAATAACGATGCTTTTTCGTCCACGGGCATAGTTATTTTCTTCTCGTTTCTCGTTTCTCGTATTTGTCCTCCGAACAAAATTGGAACGATAACTTGGACAAGGACGAGGACGAGTATGTGGACAAGAGCTGAGGAGGAAGTCTGCTGTAAGAAGTCGAAAAGTGGGACCGAAACGAAACCGCGGAAAGGGCTTGTTGAAAAAAAATATTCGAAAAGGTGTCTCGTCTTTTGATAAGAAAAAAAAGAAAAAAAAGAAAAATATGAAATACGAGAGAAAGAGAGAGAAATAGAGAGAGAGAGAGAGAGAGAGAGAGAAAAAGGTGCGTTATCTTGTAATGATGCGATGTAACAACCGAAATAAATCGCGGAAAGTAACTCCCCGATCGAGTCAGTTTGGCGAAAGCTCCTGTTCGTTCGAAGCGCAGTGGAGAACTGAGCGAAGTGCCGGCCGGCCGAGGAGCCAGGCGGGCTTTTCCAACCGGCTTAACCAATCCCGACTTCTCTTTTGTCCCACGTGCCTCTTTTCCTCTCTCCCTCTCTTTCTCATTCCATCACCCTCTCACCACCGATCTTCGCCACTCGTCCGCGGAGTTATCGGTCGAAAGAGCGTGGGCTTAGCTACATCCCTCGTATCTATGCATTTCCCAGCCCCTAACACGCGCCAATTTTTTACCAACTACTATACGACTGGACACGGATCTTTTTCTTTCTTTTTCTCTCTCTGATATTCACTTAATTTTGTCTCGAGATCGACGAATCGGATAATTATTCCTTTTCGTTCCTATTCAATTCTTTCTTCGGTTGTGAGACGAATGAATGAAATTCGTAAAAATCATATACGCTTAAGTCTCTAATAAAGTAGTTTTCTAATAAAGGAAATAAATATTGACGAAAAATTAAATAAGAAGAATGGAATAAAGAATGAAGAGATATGGATGGATACTCGCGAAAGGCGAGCATTTAATGCGTATCTATTCTCGCTACGATTCTTCGAAGACGTGCTACATTGACAAATACGCGCGCTCGAGTCGATGCAATGTAGCCTCGTTTGCCGTTAATGGGCAAGATATGTTTTCGAATCTAAAACTTAATCCGACTTCTAGACCCCGGAACGATATCTGGTTTCGTTCGATTTACGTGTGTGTACGATCACAATACGAAAATCAAATCGCGTCGTTCGATTTCATTTAAAAATTTGCATGATCGAACAACGCCATTTAATTGGATCAATTAGACTTTCGCGCATGAAATAACGCATGGTGAAATCCGCTTTCGGAAAGAAAATCCGTCGGTTTGAATTTTGAAAAGTGTGATTCTTCGATTCGAAATTCGATTTTCTCGTTTCTTATTCTTTTCGAAGTTGATTCAAATATTTATAGGGAAATGGAGAGAGAGAGAGAGAGAGAGAGAGAGAGAGAGAGAGAGAGAGAGAGAGAGAGAGGAGATGAAAAATAGAACTCGATAAAAGAGAAACGAAAAAAAAAAAGAAACAAAGCATAGGTCGTGTCTACTTACTTGGTTTGTACGCGAACCTGCGTCGAACAAAACGTGATCGAGGCCCCTTACTTTCGAAGTTGGCTGCAGAGCATATACGGTTGATCGACTGCATGTGCTTCGCTCGCTTTCCTAACGACAAGACATTCTTTTACCGACGATCATACTTTTATGTACGCGCTGTTTTCATTGACGCATTACTGAATTTTTATCCTCGAATTTTAATTGGATGGATATATTATAATTGCGTGTATAAAAAATAATTCGTAAAAGGGTTCGTGTCAAAGATGAAATGATCGTTGAAATCGTTTTAAAATTTGCTTCATCGGTAAAGAGAGTGGTGACTATTCCCACATTGGAATAAAATTCGTTTTCGTTTTCGATGTTATGAAGTCTGAAACGAAAGCTAAATGTTTAAGACAAATTTAGCGCGAGTTAACATATTAAATATTTGATTAACTTTCTCTGGTATATATCGCATCGTATCATTGAAATCATATATTTGTCAAACGAACGCTAATATTCTATTTTGAATAGATAGAAATGTTCAAACGTACAAATATCTGGTTTCATCATGTTATAATTAACCTTTTGACACTTTTCTTATCTTTTCGTATTAATAAACTTCATCTTTGATCTTCATTAGATTTTTGTTTGAGATGGCGCAACCATCAAATCATCAACGAAGTCGTAAATCGTACTATACAAAAGAACACGTTCGAGAACCGGAAGTGTAAAGTATACCGAGGCTTCGATCCGATTTTACTTTCACAAGATCGTATTATTTCGATACAACTCACGTTTCGATCAATTACTTTCATAGAACCAAAATCTATAATAAATTTATCCTGTCGTATAAATATTAGGTCCGATTTTATATGCACAACTTTATATATGATACTTTATTTTTATATTCTTCCTTTATGTTTCTATAGAGAAAAGAAAGTTACTTCTACTAAAGCTACAGATAAATACGAAAAGAAGAATTGATTTATGTATGCGAATTTTCAAAAGAAATTACTTTTCTTAAATAGATAATGTCGAAGTCGCGCGATTATCGACGGTCTTAAAAGAAGATGCTGAAGACACATGAACGATGTTAACGGTTTTGCGAACCTATTGTAATTAATTTACAGTGTAAATATCAATTAATTTTCTTTTCATAGCATAAAGATTCATTTGAATATTATTTGCATAAGTTGTTATTTCGTATATTATAGATGAAAAATGAGACGAAATCGATAAAAAGTTTAAGTTTCTTCTTTGAAGAGAAATTAGCTATTTAAGTGTTCGATAGCTTTTAAAGTGCACGACCACACCTTCGATAGATTCTTTTACATACTCTTTTACATACTCATTGCACTTTCTCCGTTCATTGGTTTTCCAAAAACGTACGTCCACGCTTATCGACATACTTTCAAGAAGAATTAAATCTATGAGACAATAAACTTTGCAAAATATTTATTACATTGTCAAATTGTTAATAATAAAAATGATACTTAATATTCTTGAATTGAAAAATGAAAAAAAAATGTAAGAGATAAACGAAACAAAAATTATATAAATCATATTTTTTAAGATATGCATTTATTTTATTCTTATATATATTGAAATAATATTATTATGGTAGTATTCATAAAAAATGCATTTGTATCTTTTGTCTAACTTAAAAAATAAATTTTATTTGTTACATTTATAACGTACATTTATAAAGTAAAATCGTATCATAATATACCATAAAAATATAATACATTCAGTCTATGATTTCGAAAATGGTCTCTATTATTATACGATTAAACATTTATCATTTCATAATGGTCACGACAAAAAAATCGCTAAATATTGAATTCAAGATTTTTTATAGAAAAGATAGAGTTTATTTGGGAGACTGTTTACGTTTCTTCGTCCATTATAGCTGGATACAATAATCGGATAAAATTAATGGCAGGTACGTTAAAATTTAGTTAGTAGGCCTTATATAAAATTAGATATAAAACATAATTATAATACATTCATACATTAAAATAAAATTAATTAAGTACTGTTATTTTGAATACAAAATAATTCTAAGAATAAAATAAGTAATTTATGCACGTTATAGGAACAAAATGTTAATAACATCAACTTAGAAATTGCCATAATTTCGTATTAAATACGAAAATTTATCACAAATACAAATAAAATGTAAAGAACAAATTCTATTTTACAATAAATAGATAAAATACTTTCATTATAAATAACATTGTCTCTGTATCAATTTCTAATCGAGATTTTTATATATCATGTTATAAACTAGATGCCTCTATAGTAGGAATATTAAAAAGACCAGCATCTTTCCAATAATAATGAGGAGGACCAACAGTAAAGCAATATTTCATAGACAATGGTTTGTCATTTTCAACATAATACATTAAATAAAAATTACACATTTCATCATTTTTAGTAGCGCCAATATATGTCCAACTATCACGTGTACTTTGCATAGTACAACGAGCCGCTATTTGATCACCCTGACTAGCTGAAACTTTATTGTGTACGGGATAAAACATTTGAGGAGTTAAAGGATCTCTTTTGCCTAATTCTATCCAAGTGTAATCTGATTTTACCAAATATCCAGAAACTACTTTTCCAAGAGAATGGGTATGTGTTCTATATGCAATAGGATGAATAGTTTTGTTCTCTTTTATCATACAGGCTGTTTCCATGTATGTTGTTCTTCTAGGTGGTATGATACCTGAAGTTCCCAAAAGAAGAACACCAGCTAATTTATTCAATGGATTTAATGTGTAATATAGAAATACACCAGAATCATCGGTTCTGCCATCTTGAAATTGTGTGATATGAGCATAATGAACTTGTAGAACTAGATATTTAATTGAAGAATCTCCACCAACTTTGAAACCTACTCCTTCTGGTAAAATTAATGTTGGTGCATCTCTAGCCCAAGCATACAGTATCTAAAAATATAAAAATATATATAAATAATCAAATATTAATATAATCAAATATTAATAATATTTTTTACAAAATTTTTAAATTACTGTTTTATATTTTCTACATCATGTACCTGAGAATCTTCTGCACATGGTACCATTGTATCCTTATTATCATTTATACCGTGTACCATTTCTCCACAATCCCATACAGGTTTTGAACTACCAGGTTTTCTACAACCATATAAAAGAATATGATGAGCAGTTGCCATTGTTGCATTTGGTTCAAAACCCGTCAAATAATAATTTTTAGAAGGATCTACTTTAACAGGAGTACACAAATACAGTTCTTCCTAAAAATAAGAAAAAATATTTTTTTATTATTTTTTTATTTATTCATTTAATATAACTTGAGAATTTTATTTAAAAAAATGTTTATTAAAAACCTATATATGTCATTAAACAATATTTTTTTTAATTATATTTACCCTATTTGGTCTAACATTTGGCATAAGTAAAGCATATTTATTTACGCTATTACACTGTATAAATTTAAATAAAATCGAAAACAAAATATAAGCCGCGAAATCTCTTTTCATTTTTTTATTAATATTTATAAACATTATATGAATTATCTAAAAAATTTACATCAATCTGTTAAATGTTACAAATCAATATTACAGTTCACGCACAAACTCTGACGTAGATAAGCATTTATAAACGCCATCTACCAAGAGCACATTGCACACAATTTATTGCATATAAAATTTGTTGATAAAAATTTTTCAATATAATTAATATTTCTATTTAAATAAATAATTTAAACAAATTATTATAAAAACATGATTTGATATGTATATATTGTCTATCATTGGACAGATGATTAGAATTATATAAATTAGATATTCATTCATCGTAATTTGAATTTCATTAAATGAGAACGAAATCGAAGTAAAATACATATATAAGTACTATTTATGTGGATTTAAAAATGTTCAATTTTAAATACTATAATCGATTGCTTTTTGTTTGGTTAACTTTCATGAACAACAATATTATGATATATAAATTTATTTTTATCTTTTATTAATATATATGTCACGAATTTGATCTGTAAGCCATTCTATGCCTAATTGTAAGCCTTCTCCAGTAATTGCATTTGTTGCTCGTATATGCCAAGGTTTATTCTGTATACGATCAAGACCAAGCCCAGCAACAAGTTTAACAGTGGTTAGAGAATCAGGCAAATCCATTTTATTAGCCAAAAAGAGAATCGGTATTTTACGACCTAAAATATTTAGCAAAGAAAATTTAATTTTTAGAAGATATCTAATAAAGAACAAAAAGAAAATAATTTGTACCAGCTATATCTGGATGTTGAAGAAGCATATCTAATTCTTCTTTAACAACAACCAATCGTAATTTGTCACTACTATCAATTATAAAAATAATACCATGGCAATCTTTATAATAATGTTCCCATAATAATCTATGACGGTCATGGCCTGACATATCGAATGCTGTGAAACTAACATTTTTAACTGAAAAAAAATGTTACAGTTTGTAATGTAATAAAATTTGTAATATTGATATATACGATGATTTTAAAATTATATGTATTTAATGTTTTTTACTTTATAAATCGATACCTGTTCTTTTACTATTTCTTCATATATTAAAATGAATGAGAATCACTGAATATATATATAATAAACACAATATATTGGCGCTATAAGATTTAAAAAAAATAATCAATTTGAAAAAAAATTTTTTAAAAATATGGAGGTGTGTGATATTTTACGTAATGTTATTAATAATGAAAAAGATTTAGAAGAAAAGCAAGGTAATATAAATCATTAAGAAACTCTAACCCTAAATTAATTATTATAAAAATCTTAAGAATTATTTTATTTTAGTACCCGTAAATGAAGTGAAAGACAAATTAAAAAAACAAATAAAACAATTGAAGTCTCTAATTTTACAAATTGAATGTAGTTTGGATATATTAAAATTTAAAAATACTAAATGTATTTTTCGTTCAAATCTTGTTAGTAACTTAAATACTGATAAAGTTCCAAATATTAATTTACAATTGAAATCTGAATTATATAGATATTCTGGCTTTTATTGTATCAAGTTTTCAGAAAATGAATATATATTTAATTTTTCACCTTTAAATAAATATGATAGAAAAAATATTTTTGCTATACAAATATTAAATAATCAAAAAAAAGGAACTTTAGGAAAATGGGTAATGCCAATGAGTATTGATTTAAATGACTTAACATCTGACTTTCCTATTACTGAATTAAGAAAAATACCACATTTCTTAAAAATTTGTAAACAACATATAGATTCTTATTTTATACGACAGACACAATATACTGCATTGATGGTATGTATAAATCTTCTTAATTTATTTTTCTATATAAAAAAATACAGAATTAAAATATTAAATACAAATTTTAATGTTTAGGATATTATTTCTCATACGAAAAATAGTACTTTACAATCTAATTTAGGATATACGCAAATTAGTTTAGAATTGATGGGTTTATATTATAAAAATACTGATTCATACATAAATATAATTATATATCTTTTATATAATATCAGTGAAGCTAGACCACACAAAATTGAAGTAAATTCAACAACACAAAATGAATTAGATCAAAATGTAAAAAAACATCTACAAAAATCTTTGGTATGTTTTAAACAATTTGATTTGCATAAAGCATTTGAGAATATGTTGAATTTGGAAGCATTCAAATGGACAAAAGAAAATGCTGAAGATAGTCCATTAGAAATTAATGTAAGTAAAAGTTTTAAGTTTTTTAAACAAATATTAACATGAACTACTATCTCTAAAAAACATTATTTTTATTTTCAGAATTTAAGTAATTCAGATGAAGAAGGATTTTTAAGTACATATTCAATTATACAAAATAAATCTCAAACACATCATAAAAAAAGACGAAAAAAGAGAAAAATAAAGGAAGAAAATTTCAGTAACATTTTAAATTTACATGAAAATCCTATTCAAAATAAAGAGCAAATATCACAAAATATTAAACAAAATATAGATGTGATAAAATTAACACCAAAATTAACTAACTTTAAAGAAAAAAGATTAAAACAGACAAAATTGAAATTTCATTTGAATAATTTAGAAAATGAATCTTCTGATACAATTGCATTTAAACATATGCAAATAAATAAAAAATTAATTAAACCATTAACTAGTACTCCAATACATCAAAATAAACATTCTTCTGATTCCATCACATCAACCAGTATTAGTGATATTACAATAACTAAAAATAATTCAGATATTGATAGAAAATGAAAAAAAATCAATTTTAGAATACACTTAGAAAATTATTGCAAAATAAAATAAAAGAAAAAAAGAAAAAGAAAAAACTGAAATGTATAATATAAATATTCATTAATTTAATTAATTGTAATTTTTAATTAATTGTAATGTATTGTATGTTTCATATAACATTTATACATGTATATATATTGTTTCAAAATAAATCTTGTCTTTAATTTAATTTGTTTTATTGTATTAAATAACAATTGGTGCTTGAACAGATCAGCAAGTGCAAATAATAAAGTAGAAATACTGTCTTAAGCACGTCAATTCAACATCGAATGTCGTTCACTTGTCATTATTTAACTTACATGAAAATTTTTCAACATTATACCCAACAGTAGGTACTATGTCTATGCAACGGTCATCCTCGCGTTTGAAATTATTTATGACCGTCGACTTACCACTATTGTTAAGGCCCACTACTAAAACGTTTACTTCTTTTTTCTTAAAACCTAAAAGATTTGCTAAACGATCAAATAGTCCCATTTTCTGTACTCTCTTCAAAGTTACGTGTTTATCGAATATCAATAGTCTACGCTGTAATATTGACTACTATGAAGATAATACATTTAAAAATACAAAATATAATTATTCTTCTCTTTATTTATATTTATATTTAATTTACTAATATATACAATGTGTCCTTTAATATTTTAATATCTTAAATAGAATTAATGAAAATATTATAATTTTAAATATACTTTTTATAGCTTTATCTTAAATATATGAATTCTAAATTTTTATTTAGGTTTAGATTGAGAACTACTGAGTACATGCTTTCGTGTTTTGTGACAATAATATTTATAAAATATTAAATTTGTGAATAATTCGAAATATTATTTTACTAATTTGCTTTTTAATTTTGCTTATTAAATAAGAAAATACTACAAAATGGTAAATTGAAAAAAAAATTAATTTATATTCATATTTTAGGTTATATTTATTAGGTTACAAATATTTATATAAATTAAATATTTTTTCAGCCTAAGGGAAAAACAAAAAAATTCATTGATAAAAAAAATTCAGTAACATTTCATTTAGTTCATCGTTCTCAAAGAGATCCATTAATTGCTGATGAAACCGCACCACAACGCGTGCTTGTTCCTATTGGAGATACACAAGCTGCTAAATTTGAAAAAAAAAAGTTAGATGATAGTAAACGAAAAGAAGAACAAAGAAAATATGGCATATATTTTGATGATGATTATGATTATTTACAACATCTTAAAGATGTTAATACTTTAACAGCTGAATGGGAACGTGTAGATTCTACACCTTCGAAAATAAATGAATCACATAATGTACCTAAAATTAATTTACCATCTTCTGTATTTGCTTCAAATGTTGAAGAGAAAGTTGGGCTTTTAAATAAAGCAGCCCCAATTTCAGGATTGCAATTAGATTTAGATCCAGATATAGTTGCAGCTATGGATGATGATTTTGATTATGATAATCCAGAAAATCAGTTAGAAGATAATTTTATGGAATTAGCTAATGCAAACAATAGTGATATTTTAGAAGAAGAGTATGGTATGTATTTATGAAAATATTATTAAACTAGTAAAACTCTTTTACTTATAATTTAAAAATGTGATTATATGAATCAGATGAAGCATCTGATATTTCATCAGAAAGACATATGGAATTATCAGATGAAGAAAAAGATGAAGTATGCAGTTTAAATGGACCTCAATACACTTTTAAAGAAGAAGAAACAAAATCCCGTTTTACAGAATATTCAATGAGTAGCAGTGTGATAAGAAGAAATGAACAATTAACGCTTCTTGATGATAAGTTTGAAAAAGTAAATATTTATTATATCATTTTAGTATAAATTTTTACATAAAGTATATTATTATTTTTATAGATGTATACTGCATATGATGATAATGAAATTGGTGCATTAGACTGTGATGAAATCGAAGGACATATTGCACCAAATTCAGATTTGATTCTTCAATGTGCAACAGAATTTGAAAAAAAGAAAAATGAAAATGTAAGTTAAATTTAAGATAATATATTTAATGGAAAAAATTAAATGTGATTTCATTTTAATAGGCTGATAATATTGCACAATTGATGAAAGATAGAATGAAAATTTTAGAAAATGAGTATTCAAGTTCTGAAGATGAAGACAGTTTAGAAGAACTTATTGTTAATGCAAGAGAAAAAGACAAATGGGATTGTGAAAGTATTATTAGTACTTATAGTAATATTTACAATCATCCAAAGTTAATTTCTGAACCTAAGGTTGTTTAAGAATAAATGTTTACCTATATATTTTTTATTTCTTTTTTTTATGTAAATTTACAATATATAAATATTTTTATAGCATCCACAAAAGATCAAAGTCAATCCAAAAACTGGTATACCAAGAAATATTTTAGATGGATCTTCTGAAAAATTAACTGCAAAAACATTGGCTCAATTTGATCAACAAAATGAATATTGTAAATCAAAATGTCCTCAGTCTATTGCAGAAACTATGAAATCTACCTTAAGTACATTGAGTATAAGATCTAAGAATGAAACTCCCGAGGAAAGAAAACAAAGAAAGAAAGCACTTAAAGAATATAGAAAAGTAAAATTATTTTATTATGTATATGCATACAAATATATATTTATAAATATAAAATTACTATTGTTACTTTTAGGAAAGACGAATAGAACGGAAAGCTAATAGTGAAGCATTTAAAGAAGAAAAGAAACGCCAAGAAAAAATTTTATTAAATAACAGGCAAAATATTCAAGGAAATAAAATATTTTAAAATAAATAAATTTCGTTATATATTCCTAAAAATAAAATTATATTTTTTTTAATTTTAGAATGTAATGTTTTTCCTAAATAATAATATTTACAATTTACACGCATCATTTTTACAAATATTTAAAAATCGTTATCTCTTGATCGCATAAATTTTGCAAAACAAATATAGAAGAAAAAAAAAAGAGAAAGAAAAATAAAAACAAGATAAAAATATTGAAATCAATGTCATTTTCAGAATGCTATAGATGAAACATATATAGAAAGGATAGAAAATAGGAAAAGAATAGAAAAGAGTAAAGTGTATTATTGTCGCCATTTTTTAAATGTCAAAAATATTTAAAAGATAGTGCTATTCTTCAATTCTTATTTAGATCCTTTATCTTATCTTATCTTATATATTTAAAAAGATATCTATTCTACTCGAAAGATGGCGTTAATGATCAATTCTTAGTTTATGTCTATCTTTCTACTTCTATTCGTTATTTTTTTCGCGTTTCATCTATTCTGAAGATGGCGCTATTTCAATATTTTTATTCTATCTCTATCTTCCTTCCATTATTTGCTCTCTTTGTCTATATTTAATCATATCGTAGAGCGCCATCGTTAAGGTGGGGCAAACAACGGAAACTCTAAAGTCATATGATCGATTTGCGATTCCTTCAGAACATAGCATTCTGTTGCGAAGATGGCCAGCCAAACGCAAGGTATTCAACAGCTTTTGGCAGCTGAAAAAAGAGCTGCAGAAAAAGTTGCAGAAGCTAGAAAACGTAAGTTTCTATTCAAGCATTATAAATCATGTTTTAACACGAATATGTTTTTAACATAACCCGCTATAATCAATTTTTCTATGACCCTGAATTTAAATGGGTGTAACCTTTTAAATGCATTGAAAAATTATATTTTAATATATATATTTATTAAAATTTTCATTTGAAATATTTGTTAATTTTTTTATCATGAATATTAATAAATGTAAATATAAATTTTATATATACATATAATATTATTTGATATTTTATGATAAAAATAAATCAATTAATTTATTAATAATAAGTTTGGAGAAATATTTTTAATCATTACTATGTTTATTTGTAGAAATTCTAATAATCATTTATCATAATATAATATAATTAGTAAAATTATTATAATAAAATAATTTTTCTTTCAGGTAAAGCACGTAGATTGAAACAAGCAAAAGAAGAAGCTCAAGATGAAATTGAAAAATATAGGCAAGAAAGAGAAAAACAATTTCGTGAATTTGAAGCAAAAGTGAGTAAATTTTAATATATGCATATAATTTTTTTATAGTTTAATCTAATAAAATATTACTATTATAAAAAATGTATAATATTATACAGAAAATATTTTTATTATTGTTACACATAGCATATGGGATCAAAAGAAGATGTAGCAGCCCGTATAGAAGCTGATACAAAAATAAAAACAGAAGAAATGAATCAGACTGTGTCTATGCATAAAGATTCTGTAAGTTAATATAAAATGTATACGGAAGAAGTAATAATATTTTTTAGTTAAACATTTTTTTTGTTTTTTTATAATATAGGTTGTGCATACAATTTTGGAGTTGGTATACGACATTAAAGCAGAATTGCACAAGAATTACCGCGCCGAAATTTAAATCAGAAAAATCGTATCGATTACTTATAAATATTGCATCTTATGCTATAAATGTACATTAAGTACTTTGTTTTATCATGTCTTAAAACGTATCTATCGTTGTTATGTTGTACTTTTGTCAGGAAATGTGTATATCCTTCAATTGTAGATGGTGGTATTCAAATTATTAGAATTTTTTCTGCAGTTGCTACACGACAATAAATGTAACCTATGCCGAGCTTTTACCACCATAATGGAAAGTTTAAGGATAGTGCCGTCATGATAGCAATATAGATGCAAACAAATTATCGTCATTATGATATATCAAGGCCTAGATATATTAGCATGACGTGTAAATGTTAAAGCTTAGGGTGGTGGTAGAAAGTTGTACATCATTAAGTGTATATTGTTAGATGTCATTCCATAATTCTGCTGCATCGAGGACATAAAAAATTTGTTAAACAATTCTGTACAACTTCCAAAGAATCACATATAAGCTCCCAATCTGATGTGATTCTCACGACGATGTACATAATATATATTATTTGTTTTGTTTGAAACACACATTTAAACTTTGTTAAGGTAGAGATACAAAAAATTATACCTCATGTATAAACCCTGTCTCCGTATGCTGACTAATCTGTACAGTATTAATGTTCGGAAATAAAAACGATCAAAAGGTAATTACTTTGTACTTAAGGTTTTTATCATTTATTAAACAATGATAATTGTTTTGAAATTTAATATCCATTCACTTTTAATTTTGAAATATTTAATATAATGTTATTGATTTTTTTGAATATAATGACTGCAATGCAATTTATTCGATATTAGACATATGAATTATCGATATTACAATAACATTATATAAAAAAAATAATTTATCATAATTCATTTAAAAAAATAATCTCTCATATATTATAAGATTATTAATTATTAAATTTAAATTTTTGAATTTTTAAACTTTATTCGTTGAGCGCAGACGCAGTTTCGATAAAAAAATACAACTGTAACGTTATTGGATATTTCTGTTTACGCTTATTGTAAATGGTCAGATATTCAGGTAGAAAAGAAAATATTCTACACAGAGGGGGTATCAGCTGTGTGAACCTAACCTTTCTTTTATCATAATCTTAGTATATAGTCGGTTGGGTGCGCGTCGTTCGTGTGTTTTGTGCGTTTACAACACTAGCGCCATTCTATAGACATCGAGAGGTGATTCGATTTCACGAACTAATACTGGCAGCGCGAAGCGGTCAGTACGTGTGCCATTCTGCACCGAGAAATGGAAGCCGACGAGACGCGTTCGAACAATACGAGCGTAAGCACGTTGATGATGTACGAAGTCGTGTGTGAGGATACAGTGACAGCTGTGGACAGGTACACGTTTTAAATCTGTTATGATTAAAAACGTACCAAGTAAAGCCGGTCATCGACCAGCTGTGAATTCAAGGAAGAGATCGTTGTAAACGCGCGTGTCGAAAATTTTGTGCATTTTAATTTGTCGGTTTGTTACGCCTAGTCGAAATCGTATTACCGAAAAGAGTCTTATCGAAAAAAACGGTGCGTGTAAGAACCTTTTTGGATACTACCTGACAAGATGTGGTGTCTCGTTAGTCAAGCTAATTCTGTCATTCTTGAGGTACAAGTCGATCCCAAAGCTATTGGTCAGGAGTGTCTCGAAAAGGTGAGTCATCTTATTATATTTTTTATTTGTTTATTCAACGAAGCAAGCATTGTTATCATCGAACTGTATTTTCGTTTTTCTCATTTTAAATATACAATAATTGTTTTTTATATTTAATTTAATTTATAACGTCAATTTCTTGTTTTCTTTACCATTTTCTTATGATCAAATATAAAATATTCAAACATTTATAGAAATAGAAGAATATTAAATGAAATGAACGATTCGATAAAGATGATGTATATTATTTGTTTTTATTTGCTTTATTAAATATTAAATTTCACGGATGGCTATCATTTTTTTTTATGTAGTTTTGTTTTATTATTTCGATCGTTAAATATGATATAAGAACGCGAAATAATAAAGACGAAAATTAAATATTGAAAACAAATCAATTAAAAACCATATTGTCTAAATCTTACATTGTCTAGATTTCATTGTAAACAATAACAAATAACTACTGTTCATCATCTATATATTTATATTACGTATTATATCGTCGATCGATTACTTGGTGAAAGTACGATTTAAATCTTTATTCGAAATGTAAATCTAGCGTTTAATTTAACAATCATGAGATAGTGGTAGAAAATTTAACAGAGAGCAAATATACACTGCAACAACATACTTCTATCTATGTAAGTTTATCCGAAAAGGTGGCAGATCTCGGAAACGTGAAACATATTCGCGCAAAAGGGAAAGATGTGGACGATGCCTTACGGCTAGGTCGTAACTCACGTGCGCAACAGATGCCCCGAAAACATTCAGATACTTGCTAGTGCAATTTGAAATTTGAGAATCATACCGATGCAAGATATTTTGGTCCTTTTGGAAAATTTATTATCGCGTTTACTGCGAAGTTATACTGCGTTGTTGCAATTTTTGCAATGTAATTAATTGAATCCGTGTGCAATGTAGCGGCAATTCACACATGTGATTTATAGACATCCGACCTGAGGTGACCTCGTGGCAACCTCGCGGCAACCTCGGTGGTCGTTTCACCGGTACCGTCTTGGTTCTTCTTTGGGGTTTAATTCTATTTATAGATGCCAGACGCATCGGCTGTGTGTATTGCAGCAGTTGCACGTATGTATACCGAGACTACCAACCTTATTCCCCTTGCTCTCAAGTTCTTTGAATTTCTCTCTCTCTCTCTTTCTCCCTCCCCCCTCCCTCTTTCTCTCTCTTTCTCTTCTCCATAAAAACATTATCGTTCAAAAATAATAAGATCAGTTTATAGAATCTATTCAATCGAAAAAATTGTTTATCATAAGTTGTCGTTCTGATAATTAGAGGTTTTAATCTTTGCCCATTGCCACATCCTGTTTGATGACTAAGAGAAAAAAATTTTTTGTTTATCGTGTCTATTTAAAAATAAATACAAGCAATCACAGGTAATTGATATTTTTTAGCATTTATGAAGGAAATGAAGCTAGTATCCGATGAAAACGTGATTCTAGACACAGGTATCCTCCTAGCGTGGCACGTTTACCTCTAATATCAATCCGTGCAGAGCACTCGAGGATGATTACGGATGGAACCAAGTGGGTCAAAGCCTAACTGGGTCGCAATTTCACCGAGTACTGTATTATTAGACAGACTTGATGTGTGCTCATCGACAAAATAAATTTTGGAGGATCATCGAATGTGTATTTGTTATACGAGTATTATCTTTAGTATAGTAAAATTGAAAGTTGATAAGAACGGGTATTCAGATGGAACTTGTCAAAGCTGTGACTGGATATAATACTTATTGTTAGCTATTCAGAACAAAAAGACTAATGCTGATAGCGTGAAACTTTGTCGTTTCATTGTCACAGAAAAACTTCTGCGTCACGGTTGTTATACGCTCATGCTACTTTTACAAAAAGTTTCGTTCAACGTCATACCGTCGAATAATTCACTCGAATAAGTTAAATATTGGTGAAAAATACACGCGCGACTAACCGGAGCTCTTTGTAAAATTAGGTCGTCACTGACAGGAGTTCGATCCCAAAATTCGATTTTTATCGCCTTTGCGCTTTTAAGCCCATCGATTGACGCTTTACACAGGCATTTTCATCGTTTAGTTTCATCTTTACTGCTCTNTTTTTTTTTTTTTTTTTTTTTTTTTTTTTTTTTCATGACACGACGCGTATCGTGTAATTTATATAAGTTCCACTTTTTTCCCTAGTCGAGTTTTTCACTAGAAATTTAGTATCCAATAATTTGTATCGCTTAAGAGTAAGTAATAAGAAATTTTTTTCTTCTTTATTTTATATATAAGAAAAACGATGGAAATTGTATTTAATATTGCGCATAATCGTAATAAATGTACAAGTCGCACCGTTTAATTAAAAAGTTTCGCGTCAGATTTATAAGGACGTTTGCAAAGTTAGGTTAAGTCGTTGGTCGTGTCTAATTAGCTCGTTACCCGAATCGGTCGATTCGTTTGGAAATTGCATTTCATCGAATTGTGTGTTTCGACACGAGACACAACGACGAATGATGAAACGCTCGTTAATTCTCATCTCGATATGCAAAACGAATAAAAGTGAATGGCTTTGGCATTTAGTTGGATATACGAAATCCAATCTTCTTTCACGCTGGTGGAAATATGTTTTCGTTTCGTTTTAAATTTTTCCACATTCGTTCGAGAATTTCACGCGTGCTTGCCAGGTACAAACATACATAGAGAGGAACATTCGGTATGGTCGTCACAAGAATCTCATTACATCGCTTAATTGCGTTCCATGGAAACCTTTTTCGTCGGCGAATGCACTTTTACAGCGTCCATTCTTCCTTTGAGCTCGTTCTTTAATCGATCCCTAGAAATTCCATTATTTTTATTTTACTACCCATCTGTTTACTTCATTTTCCACTCTCTCTCTCTCTCTCTCTCTCTCTCTCTCTCTCTTCTTTTCCAATGTCTCTAAAAGTCTCTTAAATCGGATAATTATAACGAAACGGTTATATACAATAGAGAATATAACTCTTTCAGATAAGATTAATACAAATTGCATATATACTTGCTATATACCATAGCAAGTACCTATAATTAATAGAATTAATTAAGAACTTTGCATCGTGTATATACGAAGCTCCTATCTTTCTACCAACCCAACAATTATTTTTTTTTTCAGATGGCCTGTTTCATCATATATACATGTATATATATATACACATATATAGTTGTTGATGTTATAATTTCTCTCGCGAGTGACTAAAAAGAGAGAAAAAATATTTTCGCGTCAAAGTAGGACAAAGGAAGAGGAGAAGGTTAAAAAGGATATATATTGGAAAGGACGAGAGAAGAGAGGATACGAAGATGGACGTGTATAAAGCATTAAATAAACGACCTCCTTGAAGTTACCCGTCTCTCGTGGGTGAGTTAGGAACGTAATCGACCGAGAAAGAGAAATATACGAAGGAGGACCGCGTTGGGAACGAGCGAAGGAGTGGCAAGCTCGTTCATCACTAGGTGACGCCCCCTAAATGTTTCCTTTGTGGGTTTTAAAAGTTTTAGCGATGGCCGTACCCATGGCCCCGCAAGTATTTCATCGATTGTTTTATAGCTGTACGGACCTGCGGGATTTGTCTCTTTTATCATCCGGACTATCCTCATCGTAGCCACTCTTCTCTCTCCGTTCATTTACTCCCCGGAGAAAAAAAAAAAAAGAAAGAAAAATACGAATCGCATGCGACCAATTGGAATGGGTATTTATCAAATTCTAATCTTTTTATTCTATCTTATTATTCTATACGTTATCTTTCGAGCACTCTTTTCAATCATTTGTTTTGTCATTTTTCAGAGTTTTAGTTTTACGTGTTTAACGGATACCCTGTTGTGAGAACAATATTTATACTTCTTACTTTCGACACAACAATATTTTTATTTGTTGAAAAATATAACGATGACCAGACGTTTTGAATGATGCAGATGTGTTTGCATGGATAATCGAAGAGTGTATAGTGCAATTATTATTAGTGCTTTTTTTTCGCGTGTCTTCGAACTGTT